ACACCAAAAAAAAAAAAAAAAAAACTTGAAACATAAAAAGGTGTCCAGGAATGACTTGTGTGTCTCAGAATAATTTTGGACTGGCACATTTGATGCCTCGTGAGATGTATGATTGACAGACCTGCAGATAAATGTTGCAGTGACAGTAGCACGGAGATTGTCTGTCCACTGTTTTTACAGTGAGAGCACTGTTTGTGCATAAGTTGTTTTTTCTGCAGTCGCACCCTGTGCGATCTTTGACAAAAGTCAGTCGCACCTTTAAATAAGTTTGGCCTCAAAATCTGAGTTCTCAGTCTGGAGCCCTGTAAAGCTACATTTGGGCTTGTATGTAAAGCTGTTTGATTTGGTGAATTTGGATTGCACAATTTTAATTCACTTTGTCTTCTTCTTTTACAGTATTCATCACGCGATGTGATCCAAAATCCACAATGTGTGAGAACATTTAAGAACGTTTGTTCGGAAGAAAAAAATTCTTGATTCCAGTGGAATCTTCCATATATATAATTATTATTATTATTATATTTTTTTCTGTGTTAAAGCTTACACATATTTGCGTACACTTGTCCCCATCAACATATAACCATGCCAGTGCAAGCACCACAATGGACAGAGTTCCTGCTGTGCCCAATCTGCACACAGACATTTGAAGAGACTGTTCGCCGGCCCATCAGCTTGGGCTGTGGACATACTGTCTGCAAGATGTGCCTGAACAAGTTACACCGTAAGGCCTGTCCCTTTGACCAGACAGCCATCAGCACAGACATCGAGCAGCTGCCTGTCAACACAGCCCTGTTGCAGCTGGTGGGAGGCCAGGTAAGACCTGTGTGTTTGTACACTAGTTTGGCAGTTTATGACAGATATCTCATTTGGAAACACTTGTGCAGAGCCTTTGTTGTTGCTGGGTTGTGATTAAAGGTAACAGCTTTTGTGTTTTAATGGAACATTTTAAAATACTATTGTTATTTTGACAGTCTTTTCTGTAATTACAGTTTATGGATTGTATTAGAACATTACAGACAGGTTGTCACATGTGCATGTAACTTGGAGAGTCATTTATGAGTCACACTCCAGTCATTGAGCAATGGATTTATTTCTGTTGGTTTACTGAGTGCAAGCATTAAAGCTATTTTTTTCTGAGTCAGTGTTTGACTGTCAGGGTGAGGCAAAGTGAATTTCCAGGTATCACTGTATAAATTCCAGGTATGCTGTATTAGATAACAACACTGTATTCACTATGACCATGTTGTGTATCTGATACAGTCACAACTCTGAAGTTGTATTTCTTAGCTGAGTGCCTTCCATATCAGAATCAGAATCAGCTTTATTGGCCAGGTGTGTTGGACACAGGAATTTGACTCTGGTACAGCAGCTCTCTTGATACCAAATCTGAAACTTGTTGTGCATTTATTGTCTGCAGTAGTAGATTAGTAAGCCCAGAAGGAAATGGAAAGTTAAGAGTTCTGTAGGAGTACTCTCTGTTGTCATTAGGGATATACCTATACCGGTATGGGTCTCTGGTCCAGTGCCACCCTACTGCTTTACCTGTACTCATAAAAGTTGTGTGATACTATGCATTAATACCACTTAACATTATGATAACCTCACACTTGTGATTGTGAACGGTGGTCGTTCTGCAGATTATATTGAATTGTTGTAAATAAGAAGAAACCAAATGCTAATTTTACATAGGCCTAATTAATGGCGGTATCTAATGAGCTCTGTGTATGAAAATGAGTTGAATCCTTTTCGACTTGAAGGGTGAGTTTGAGCAGCTTTTCTACAGCAGAGTATGTATGTGTCCAGCAGAGAGGACAGGATGATGCCACAGACAGTAGCCAGTTTAAAGTAAGATCATACACCCTTTTAACATTTTAAGTTACCAACTGTTATATTGTGCGCTCCTAAACTTTGACATTCTGGGCAGGGGTTGTGAAATCATTTCATCCTAAGGGAGGGTCACACTCCAAAAAAGGTTAAAAACCACTGTATGCTGTGTAGGAGGCTACAGTCAGTTACAGCTTATATTCAGTAGAGGTGATGGCAGTGCTGTGTTTATAAGGTTTTAAGAAAATTTGCATAGTCTCCTGTTATATTTTATTTAATCACAATCAAACAAAAACTCAAAAACTGCCTCTAAGGTCACACAGATTTTTTTGATAAGTTTTATAGCAGAAAAATTGCATTAAGCACTTCTGCCGGTACTCTGAGTACTCAAATATAAGTACTTGTACTTGGTCTGAAAAATAGTGGTATCAGTACATCCCTCTGTGTCACCCATGAAAATAATTTAACACTTATTGATTAAAATACCACAGAGCTTCAGGTTTCTTCAGTCAGTGTTAAAAGTCTAAAGTGAAGGGGTTACATTTACTTTTGAATTTTACTGGATGCCTAATGGTCATTTAATTGACCATTGCAATGCTTGTCAATTGTGTCTGCTATTTGACATAACACTATTAAAGACGATTGCTTTTATTCAAAAATTGATTTTGTTTCAGTAGCGAGTTTGTGCTGCTGAGAGTTTTTCTAGATGTTGACAACGCAAAGTTCTTGTAAAAACTCGGAGACCTTTGACTGACTTACAATTTTACTTTGTCACATTAATGTCACAGATTCAGAGATCAGAGATAACTTGGTATTAATTACAAAACTCATTTCTGTGTAGTTGTTCTAAGTCTTACATCAGACACTGAACAGAGAATGATGACTGTGTTCCACTACAACATTATTGATACATAATTTTACTGAAGGTTTTCAGCTACCGCAGTGGGTTGTCTTTAATTTTCCCACTCTGTTCTGCTGTAGGTTCCCAAGGCTCAACCAGTTGCCTTGATTACCAGTCCAGAGGACTCTCAGCATTATGAGGAAGCCAGGCAGTGTGTGGAGGAGCTGGCTCTCTACCTCAAACCCCTTAGCAACACCCGAGGTACTTGCATGCACAAACACATGTTTATTATTTATAGTCTCTTCTTAGTTAATAGTGATCCAGTGACACTCATATGGCTGGAGGGTATTTTCAACATGGGAAGTCCACAGTTGCACAGTAGTTTTGGAGGCAAAGTGGTTTATGATGTGAGAATATTGTTAGGTGACTGATAATACACATGGCCTTGTTCCTTTTTCAAACACTACATTGTTTATGGGTTTGTATGTCCTACATGCAATGTCATCTTGGAAGCCAGTAAACTGTATGAATAAATGGTTAAAGTCATCAGTGCTTTCCATTTAGATCAGCATTTTTAAAAACAGCATGTTACAGCTCATGAACTTATGAATTTGAAGCTGTCTGAAAATTTCCACTTACAAAGTAGTAAATGACATTAAGTGTGTCTTAGACTGTACTCATAAGCACATTTAAACACAGCGCCATTCAAAACACAATAAATTACACATTGCAGGTGTCTATTGCATTTTTAATTGTCAGAAGTAGAAATAAATGCTACTATAACACTACTGTAATTTGCAATATAATGTAAAAGAGAAAAAATAGCGACTTTGTAAATTATTGCTTGATTAACAAAAACAACCTTTGATGGAATTTTAATGAAATGTATTAAATGAGTTGATTATTGCCATGTTTTATATGTGCAGCTTCAAGGCTACTCTGTTTCTTTTTAGCTGTTAGAGTCTGAGACACTGAATAAAACCACATGACACCATAAGCAACTCTCAGCTGCTCTTTGCTCCTCTCATCATGTCCTGTTTCCCAGCGATGACGAAAAATATCATGGTTGATTGCGAGAAACTGGAGCTGGCATTAGCTGATTAATCAGTAAATGTGGCAGTCCAGTAGAATGCTCCGGTTATTACTGATGTGACACAAAACACTAATATTACACAAAGCTTGAATTATTCCAAAATTAAAATCATGTTAATCCAATTCAAAAGTAAAATCATGACCATACTAGGTTGCTAATGTTGCCAAAACAAACACGTCAGCTTTAGATACCAACACATCCAGAAAGGAGGACATTACATCTGAATTCACTTGATTTATCAATGTGTAAAATAAAGAATCATACATTAATTGTTGTTTGTACCACTGCTAAAAATGAAACTGTAATTTCTAAGAAAGAGGATTAAATTGGGCCCTACACTTGTAGCATATATTGACTCATACTTTTTAACACTGGTGCAAGTTTTAAGCAGTTTGCTTAAAAGGTTGTCCTGTTATTATTTGAAAATGATTGATTTCTTGATATTGGGTTACTACTAACAATTGATAAGTCATTACAAGTTTGTAACATTGATTTTTTTTTATTTTATTTTTTGAAATAAGCATTTTCACAATGTAACTGAAACAAATTGGCTGGTGGTTCTAATAATTAGTCTTTCTCCATTGATATAAATGTGGTATACTGGTATGTTGCATTTTTCTGTATTTATTCCATGGGTGTACCAGTTGTCCTGTCTAATCATCAGGTGTGGGTCTGAGCAGCACAGCCCAGAGCATGCTGAGTCGACCTATGCAGAGGAAACTGGTAACACTGGTCCACTGCCAGCTTGTGGAGGAGGAGGGCCGCGTTAGAGCCATGAGAGCTGCCCGCTCTCTGGGTGAGCGAACGGTCACTGAGCTCATTTTGCAGCACCAGAATCCACAGCAGCTCTCCTCCAATCTGTGGGCTGCTGTCCGTGCACGAGGATGTCAGTTTCTCGGTCCAGGTATAATATTTTTTATTACCTTCAAAGAGAGAAAATCAAGCAGAAGCAGTCTATATGCTCTTTGTAAATGTTGGCTGCTCAGGCTTTTTAACAATTAACTGTTTAATTATGGTTTTGATGTTTGTTTGTTTTTTTCTTCATTAGCAATGCAGGAGGAAGCTCTAAAGTTGGTGCTTCTTGCTCTAGAGGATGGATCAGCTTTGTCCAGGAAGGTTTTGGTTCTCTTTGTTGTCCAGAGACTGGAGCCACGCTTTCCACAGGCCTCTAAAACTAGCATAGGCCATGTGGTGCAGCTCCTTTACAGGGCCTCCTGCTTCAAGGTACGTCTCTAGCTGAGGACCAGGAAAAATCGTCATTAATTTTCTTTAAATTTCTGAGAAATAATGTAGGTCATGTGGTACAATGGGGCCCATCACTCCTTAAAAGTGACCATGAAAAGCCTTTTTTTTTTTAATAAATTCATTGCTAATGCAATGCAGTGATGAGTATAAAACAGACAATTAAGTAAAAGCTCTCATCTAAGCCTAAGGGGGAAATTAAAATGTCACCTAACTTCATCTGTGGCTGTCTAGGTGACCAAACGTGATGAAGATTCATCTCTGATGCAGCTGAAAGAGGAGTTTCGAACTTATGAAGCTCTGCGGCGAGAGCATGACTCTCAGATTGTTCAGATTGCCATGGAGGGTGGGCTACGGATTGCACCTGACCAGTGGTCTTCTCTGTTGTATGGGGATCAGTCTCACAAGTCACACATGCAGTCTATTATAGATAAGGTAAGGGGCAGAAGTACACATTCTTTTTGTTGATGTTTAACAGTGTGTTTGCTTCCACGTCCGCAAATATTTCTTAAATGTGATCTGCAACATGGTGCCATTTTCTAGCTTTTTATATCAAAGCATGTTCCTATATAAATATATGAAAGCATTAACTTTCTGTCTGTCTACTTCTGGCATAGCTGCAGACGCCAGCATCTTTTGCTCAGAGTGTCCAGGAGCTGACTATTGCGTTGCAGAGGACCGGCGATCCAGCCAACCTCAACAGGTTGCGGCCCCACCTGGAGCTGCTGGCCAACATTGATCCCAGCCCTGGTAAGAACAAGCTGATTTCAGGAATCTTGGTTTTGAAGTGATGTAAAGAGCAAGTCAAATATATACAGTGTCACAATTTTAGAATTTGAACTGTGACCTCTGGAGTAAATGTCAGGATATGTTAGGAGTATGTTGTTTAGATTTTAGTGTGTGTTGGTATTTGTCCTCCAAATGTCACAAGTTAGTGTGTTGTAATATAAAGATCTGCTCCAGTAGTGCAACACTGTGCTAAGGTGTTGAAAGAATGTCTTTAATCATAAGAAATTAAGCTGTGAATGAAATGCTGTGTTGCAAGTAGATCTCTATTGTATTTTGTAATGTTTTACCAGCAGGTATATAAAATTCAGCACCACATCTTGTAATCCTCACTAAATCATATCTGTTGGTGAGATCAAGAGAAGTGGTTGGCACACAGAGCAAGTGGATTGTATCATCTATTTAGGTTTATGTATTTAGATGGCAAAAAGTAGAAACATTCATAGCAACAAACTCTTGGGATTATGTAGATTAATTTTGAGTTTGCAGGCTAGACAGTTTTCTTTTATTTATCCATGTTTTTCTGTTTATCCCAGATGCTCCTCCTCCTACATGGGAGCAGCTTGAAAAGGGGTTGGTAGCAGTGAAGACAGTGGTGCATGGCCTGGTGGACTTTATCCAGAACCACAGCAAGAAAGGAGCTGATCCTCAACAGGTCAGTTTTCAATTGGATCACAGAAAAGCTGGGATTAAGAATGGTGTTGATACCTTCTGATGGCTCATGGGTGCAAAACACCTTAAGACACTTGATGTTGATGTTTCATTTAGAACACGTCTATATATTCTTAGGTATTTAGAAAATATTATTAATATAATAATAATATTATAGTTTTTACGACTTCATAAATAGTTTTACCATAATGAAACAAAAAGCTGAGAATCCTCTATTTTAATAATACTTGATGTCTTTCTTTAGCCTTCTCAGCACAGCAAGTACAAGACATACATGTGCCGTGACATGAAGCAGAAAGGAGGCTGTCCTCGTGGGGCCAGCTGCACCTTTGCTCACTCTCAGGAAGAACTGGAGAAGTGAGTCTTCAACATGATGCATTGTCTCAACTCAACTCAACTTTATTTATATAGCGCTTTACCACAGCACAGCTGACCAAAGCACTTAACATATCATACAAATATAAAAACAACACATAAAAAGCTATAGACAGTAATATAAACACTAACACCAGGGACAGAGTGTCATTCCTGGTCAAACGCCAATGAATAGAAGTAGGTCTTCAAATAAGACTTAAAAGTGGACAGTGAGGGGGCCTGCCTAATATAAAGCGGCAAGGCATTCCATAGGTTTGGACCTACCACAGCAAAGGCTCTGTCCCCCCTAGTTTTCCGCCTGGCCCTTGGTGCCTCCAGAAGAAGCTGTATATTTTCTTGTGTATATTTTCAAATTAGATTTTGCTGTTGGATTGAAACCATTTTCCTTCTCTCATTTATCCAGAAATACCACAGCGTTTCATATACAATTTGTACTGTATTTATGTTTGTCAGGTATCGTAAGATGAATAAGCGTCTGGCAGCTCGCCTCCCTGGCCCTGGTGGGCTCATGCCAGAAGAGGGCCTTCCTCTTGATGTAGCAGTGACCCGGAAACATTCACCCCTTACCAATGGCACTGTTGCGCCCCAGCTCATTGCTCGTGGCACGGACACAGTTCCCTATGAACTGTTGCGTAAAACCGTCAAGATGGATGGAGGGAGTCCCAGTGCCCCAGGATCCCCACCTGATGTGTGAGTGTAGCGCTCTGTACAGTAATTTAGTTGGCACCTAAAGAGCAGGTAACTATGTGCCATGGAGCAAACCAAATTCAAACCACAAAACCAAATTCCTAATTTTTTGATACAAATGAAACATTTGAAATGATACTCCTTTTTCTAAGGGACTCTATGTATTAACCGTGAGTGCTGGCATCTCTTCGTAATACAGCATTTGTCAAGACTAAACATGTATGCACATTCTTTCACATTCCACTAATTTAATTTCTTATTTTTGTTTGTAGCTGTCATCCAAAGTTAATACAGTTCAGTTTAGTCTAAGAAAGCACAATAGTCAATGGAAAAGAGGGCATGTCGTTGTTTAGTATGTAGAATAATATTTGAATTATGAGTTTAGGGAAAAATGTAGTATGTAATATCTGAAATAATGCACTTGTGTAAGGCAGTCTAGCTAACACCACCACCAGATATAAAGTAGTCTTAGCCTAAAGTGGAAACCTGCAGACCTTTAATACTCAGAGGCTCACAGTTATGGTTTGATTTACATATACTGTATGTAGCTCACTGTCTATCAGCCCTGTTTGAATTAACATGACATTTATTCTTGTAGTCTGGATGCTGTGCCCAAACCTGGGATGCCTCTGCCACCTCATGCCATTGCTCATCCAAGGATGCCAGCAGACCACCTTTCTGGGGTGAAGCACATGCCTGTGGTACCCAGAGGTTCACCAGTGTACCCCCCTCCGCAGCTCTCTGAGATGTGCTATGACACTCGCCCACCACCTTCTGCTTCGCAGTATGAGCCCCCACAATATCCCACAGGTAAGGCTCAAGTAAAGTGAATAGTGTGCTTCTGTTTCTTCTGTGTTACTGATGCAAATTCATTATCTTTTTGCTTTATACTTGGAAGTAGTTTGTGAGATAGATGTGAATAAGTCTTCCATTTATTTTTCAGGGTACCCATACCAACAGCAGGGACAGTATGTTCATAGGGATTACATCCGTAACCCTCCAGCCCCTAGTGAGTCTGGACCCACTTACCAGGATCCCTATTCTGGCTACGGCCCTCCAGAGCGCACCTACCAGACCCCTCACTCTGGTCCAGCCTTCTCCTACCCTCACCCTCCACACTATGACCGAGGTCGCCATGGAACATATGCTGGCCCACCACCTCCCCCACAGCCTTACCCATCCCAGAGAGATGGCCTGATTAGAATGAGTCCCGCGCCTATGGATGTTGCCCCGCCGTCAGCAGGGCAGGCTAACTCGCTCTACCACCAGGAGCCCAGTGCCCGGGATAGATACCCACCAGATGGCTATTATCAACCAGGTGCCCAGGCACCAACCATGAGAGCTTATGTCAGGGTATGTTTTGATAGTTCTTCATTTACTCTATTTGCTTTTCTCTTTGTGTGATCATGGTAATTATAAAACACTAAGAAACAATGAAGCAATATTTATGTGTGTGTCTTAGGGGCCATCATATGGTGGTTCACAGCCCAGCCTGGACTATCTGCACCGACGTCGGCAGGAGCTGTTATCCCAGCTGGAGGAAAGGAAGGTTATCTCCCCTCCACCATTTGCTGCCTCTCCAACTCTTCCTCATCCTTTCCCTCGTGACTACCCTCCTGAGGTTAGTACTGAGTGAATTTCTCTGCGAGTCTTCGAGACTGGATCAGGTTGTGGCATTAAACTGTAAGATCTGACACATATAATTTTAGGATTCACAAACAGTAAGGAACATGGGGGATGTATTACTTTAAAATGAGTATTGGTTCACTGTAGTGATAGTGCTTTTTCTTCTGCATGTCCTGTGGTTGCAGTATGGTGAGGAGAGCTCAAAAACCATGGTGAAATGCAGAGAGCCTGACTACGCCGGGCAATACTCACCCTGGTCTTGTGAAACTATTGGCTCCTACATTGGCACAAAAGATGCCAAACCTAAAGAAGTCATGATTCCTGGTGCCATGGATATGATGGTGAGTTTCAGATGGATATAACCAGCGACATAACCAGTGATAATCATGTCAGTATTTCCCATTGGCTCTATATACGATTGCCACCACTTCTCTCCACTATGTAAAAGTGAAGCTAAAATATTGTGAATATGGTGACTGCCTCCTTGCTTTTTGCCACCAGATTCTGCTCAGTAGTGATGAGAAGTAGAGTGGCGGCATCAAATCACTAATCAAAACTGTCAAAGGAAAGTCACTTTCGGCTTTTCCTGTTTAGGAGTCGCCACAGCGAATCGTCACACTGACGACTCGCATGTTGACATTTGGCACGTGTTTTACGCCGGATGCCCTTCCTGATGCAACCCTGATTTGAACCCGGGCCGCAGTGGCAAAAGCGCTGCGCCTTAACCACTAGCCTACCAGGGATGGCTATACTAATCAAAACTCTCAAATCAACCAAAATACACCCATTTTTACATAATCAAATAACTTATTAAACCAGAAAAATGATCACTTGTACACAAATCAGCATGGTAATATCTACCAAAAATGATGGATATCATCTCTGGGAAAATTTTATTTGATTTGAGTTGTTAGTTTGGCTCATGTCCTATCCACTAACATGGAGGAGACAGGATTTCTGACCTTTACTGCAACCAGCCACCAGGGGGATCATTTCTAGGTGGCTTCACTTCTGGGAGCTGTCAGACTGTCTGTTGTAAATGCAGTCAGTGGTGTTTCCCATGTAAATATTTGAGGTGGCAAAAAACATTGTTAAATCACTCTTTCAAGTGAGAAAGGAATATGTTACTCACTTTGCCTCTTCCTCACATCTCTCCATACCATAACCTCTCCTCTCTCTACCCATCCCTTTCCCTGCCAGAATGTGGAGGCTAAGGGTCTGAGGGAGCCATCGTTGGAGGCTCCTCGGAGAAGTGCAGAAGTCAAGGACGATGACCCCATTATTCCTTTTGGCCCCCAGCCCACTGTATCACGATTCGGTGCCATCTCTCGCACCTCAAAGACAGGCTACCAGACCACTGGCCCCATACAGGCTATGGCCTCCACTCCCCAAAACCCAAACTCTAAACATATGGCCATTCAAGGTAACAGAAAAAAGATGTGCACGGCAACATATTAAACTCCATCTCTACTGTTTTTTTTTAAGTAGTTTAAAGTCTCCTACTCTCAAAGCAAGTGGTATAGAAACTGTTGTGACATCACACCCAATTGTGAAATTGGATACACAAGGATAAGCCAGCCCCTGCACAGATAGTGTAGGGAGCCTTTCTCAGCTAAATGAAAATAGCTGCACTAAAGCCAAGCTCTCTGCCTCAGGCTATATTTGAAAAAGGGCTGTGACTTTGTTGGGAAACTATTCTAACATCTTAAAGTGAAGTTTTGCTTTGTTGCCATTTACATAATTGTGGTGGTTATTCCGGTTTGCCAAGAAAATATGACAACCATTTTACCCTCTCACCTACAGCAGAATACACATATGGAAGCCATGTAGGGTGGGGTGGAGCTTCATACCCCTCCCACCAGCCTGCCTCCTCATCTCAGGGACACTTTAGTGAGCGGTAAGGCCTGTGTTTGCTTTTACTGTCATCTTTTTCATATTCATACAATGATCATGCTTTTGGGAAAAGAACAAAGTGCATATATGAAACAAACTTTCTGGTCTAGGGTGATGATCATAAAGCCACCTGTGTAAAATTTTCATTGTTTCCTCCTCACAGCTTACCTTTGGCAGCCCCAGACAGAGAACAGTTAAAGATTGAGCTGCAGCAGGTCAATCAACAGATCACCCAACAGACTCAAATGCACAGCATGGAGGTGTGTATACTCATTAACTAACGAGGACCTACGAAGGTCAGGGAAGGAAATGATGATAAATTCTGCATTTTTTAAAAATTATATGTCTAAAAATATTTTTTATTTGGATGTGATGTGACAAAGAATAAAAACAGCTGGCATGTTAGGCTGTATTTTTCCCTGATTATAGCCAGAAATGGCTAAATTGCACACTCATCCTGTTCACCTCCTGTTTTACTATTACAGGTTGCCAGTAACTCCTTACTGCTGCAGAGGGAGGCCAGTGCACTGGCTGGTCAGTCTGTGCAACCCAGCCAGGCCCAGGTGGCAGCAGCCCAGCAGCAGCAGCCCAAGTGGCCAGCAGGTGGAGCAAGTGCAACAGCAGTCTCCAGTGAACAGCTGAGCCTGGAGCTCCACCAGGTGGAGAGAGAGATTGGCAAGAGGACCCGCGAGATGGCTATGGTAAGGGAGTTGGATTGTTAGGCAACAGTAGGTAGAACAGTAATAATTACTGTATACAGTATATATGGATAGAATTTGGTATAGGGGGTAATTGTTGATGAAAGGTCCTCTTCCTGTGATGACTGGAGGAGGGGGACACAACATTCCACTGAGTCCCCAACAAAAAGGACAGTGAATCAAGTCTTATAACTGTCTATATGTATATACTGTATATATGAAGATGCAGTTTTCTTGAAGAATCACTTCATCCTCTCCCTGTGGAATCTATAATATACACCATGCTGCCTTTTTAGGTACATTTTGCCACAGTGGTGAATGCATATTAGCATACAACAATAACAGCAGCTAAGCATGTTTCAAGCCTCTAACCATGTTTTGTCCATGTCCAAACCAGGAAAACCAAGTAGCGCATGATGTTCAGCAGTACAAAATGAAGCCTGCAGAGAATGGCCAACTAGAGCACAAGACTCAGCTGGAAGAAATCTCCCTGGCTCTTGGGTGAGCATAGACATATTTAAACATAAGTATGTTATATTCCCTGAATATGCATATGTTCCATTATTAGCCTTCCCTCTTCCCAGTTATCACATGCGTCTTTTATGCCCCTTTCAGGGAGGTGTCAAACGGCGCCAGCAGCCTGCAGGAAAGTGCAGTAGGCGGGTCTATGCTGTCACTGACTAGTAAGACATCTTCATTGAGCCTGTGTTCTGATCCAGGTGCCAC